ATTAACAAGTGGGCTTTCGTTTTCTTTGTGTGTTTTTTACTATTTTCATGGGTCATTTAGGGTTGAGAAAAAAAAAAAAAAAAGAAGCTATCTTCCGTCTTTTTGTAATCTTCTCTTTTTTCATGATCTTGTAATGTTTATTTTAACATAGTGGATTTTCTTTTCGCCATTGAATGGCTATGGATGTTTCCCTTTTTTGGGGTTTTACCACGTTAAAAATATTGGTGTTCTATTCCTTACTTTTAAATATTGCTTAGCTTAGATATATACAATTGAATCTGATTTATATAATGACCAAAAGAGCTGGTATACCTTTCTTGGTATAAGGTCATGTAGTTGAAGAACCAAAAAATGTGTTTAAACCAAACTGAAGGACAGCATATCAAACTTTTAATGGCCTAATGAGTACCATTTAAGAGTAATGATATTTGGGTTAAATCTTATGGGTCAAAAAAGAGGTTGAATGATGTGGCTTACCACATTGTTCACTCACTTAGTTTTTTTAAAAATAAAATAAAATAAGAAGGGGTTAGTCTACCATCCTATGTCAATTTTTCCCTTCTAAACATTTTTTACTCCCTCTCTTCCAACGTTCCCTAGCAATCATCCTATACCTATTCTTCTCCTTCACCTCATCAACTAGTTTGCCGCTACATAGGTAAGTATTCTTCACTTGAGTTTATTGATTTTTTAACTAATTAAAATCTTGTTTAAGATAGGATGACAATGAAAATATTAAGTTTTTAATTGAGTTTATATTTTCTTTCTGCATGAAATTTTGTCGTCTTGAGTTTTATTTTTATGTGGAATTTGATTTCTACCACAACAAAATACAAGTTTTATGTGGAACTTAATTTTTAAGTGGTTTGAGGGGAATTTGGTCTATACTTATACTAGTTTTTCGGGTTTCTATTCAACCTTTTTAATGAAGGTAATTTCTTAGTTGTTGTCACTTTTTTCTCAACTAACGATTGTTTTGATTTCTACACATAATATTCTTCATGTGCAACCTTTTAACATATATGCTCTATTTATAAAAACATGAATCGAAGTTAAATTCCTTAAAATTGAAAGAGATTGAATGGAAGAACTTGAAAAGTCAACTGCTCCATGGTCTGGTTACATTTTTTTTTTTTTTAGAATTATGAGAAATCTATAATACATTTCATAATTATAGGTTTTTTCCTTGAGGAATAATGCAACCTAGATTGTAGGTTCCATAATTGTTCTTTTACCATTCTTTTGTTATAAATATTAATTAAATTATGCAAATATGTAAATAACCATACAAAATCTAAATGCACAGATAGAAAAATGTAATATAATCTGAATTCTATTAAATTGTACTAAATTACATTAAATTACATTATATTAATCATTAGATGGGAATTGAGTCTGTTGATGTTAGTAGCTTTTCCCTATCCAATAATTCTTGTTTTATAGCCTCGTATAATTCAAATTATAAAATAATATTCCTATAAGAAAAAAAAATAAAGAAAACTTACCTTCCAATCATATGCCCATAAAGTTCTAAGTTAGTTTTGAACAACATTTATAACAAAATTCCATGAAAAAAAAAAAGAAGAAAAAAAACATTTATAAGAAAGCCTTAGATTTTTTGTTTTTATGGTAAGTTATTTAGGTGAAGTAAGGTCACCTAATTCCAAAGTTTTACCAATTCTAATGGAGATTTATAGTGAAATTTACAAATTACTAATTCACTAAAGATTTTTGGCAGGGGAAAAAATGATATAGTTAGGCAGTACAAACAATTAACATTTTCTTCATTAGATTTTTATTTTCCCCTTTCATGCATGATTCAACTTGTGTTGAAAAAAAAAAGTCAGTTGGAGCTGAAATTAACAAAAATGTATTTTTATCAAGGAACTTTCTAATTTATAGTAACTAGTTAATACCCCAGACAATGCTTCAGCCGTGAAATAAAAAAAATAAAAAATTTAATATAAAAAGAAAATTAGTAGTTAAAGGATAAATCATTACTCAAAAGGAAAATATAATAGTAAGTTCTAGGGAATTTAATCCCAAATATATCAATCTCTATGATGTTAGCAATATATGCATATTTAACTACTTGGGATACAATTAAAAACAACAAAATCCTCACAATATTGTGTCCTATTTTGGCCATAATATCTACTACCATATATGATTCATGAAGAATATGGACGACACGACCTCAATGTAAGGAATTTGCTATAGGAGGTTTCTACAATCAAAATTCAGCTTGAAGAATGAGAACTGTCTCATGTTAAATAACACATTATCAAATGTGTTTTGCAAAAATACATTTACAGAAAGTAATGGAAACTAATTCAATACCTCAAAAGCATATTGTAATGAAGTTCATCACAATGAGGCCAACAAAGTCCAACAATAAACTACCAATAAAAGTTTTTAGGCCTGTGGCAAAGCTCAAATAAAAGTTCAGTTAAGTAGGTATAATAGAATCAATAGCAGGTAAACTTTCTTTAAAATCTCCTTCTATACTAATTCAGAATTTAAAGAAGCATTTCTTGTTATTATCCAATCTGTCTTTCTATGCAAAGTGCTATTCTTGTTAAGTATCTTTTAGACCATGTTCAAACTTCCTTCACCAACATAGAAATGCTCTCATCAATTCATAGTCACTAAAAAATCAATGTAAAAAGCAGTTAAGTCAATCATGAATCCTAGTATCCTACATACATATACTTTAAACTGCTGGATGATTCTACAGCCATACCTGTAAACAAATTCCCAATTTTAGCGATCTTTAACATATGTAATTATGTATTGCATTTTACATGTTGCATTTTGTTGTCTCCATGATACCCACAAAGGACAAGGAAACAAACAGAGGCAAGGTAAAATAGTAAATCCCATAGCCCTAGGTCTATGTGCATACAAGAAAATTCAGTTACAAGCTGCCAATCAGAAGATAAGGAAAATTCTAAATAATTAGAATGTTTACTAGTCAGAAAAACAGAGTTACTAACCAAAACCACCAGCATGAGGGAATCAATGAGCAGTATCACCAGCAAGTATTATTTGATTGTAGCAACATACAAACTTTTCGGCAACTTCAACATGTATTACCCATAGCTTTATACTAATAATTCCAAGGCTGCTAATAAAGAAATAAAATAATTTTAATGCTCAATACATGACATGATACTACCAAAATCCAGAAAAAGTAATAGATAAAATAAATGCAGAAGCCATGAGAGATTAAACTTCTAAAGAACAATAAAAAAATAAACAAAACTGAGAAAGTTTCAAAAGCCATAAAATGATTACTAAAGCAATGGTTTGACCTTCTCTTTTACACCATCAACAATAGCCCACATATATTTTTCCTCCCGCTTCAACATCTCTTCTTCAATGCCTTCTTCTCCTACACAAACAAAATTTATAAATCAAACAATGGCACATTTGAATCAGAAACATGAATAAAAGAATGAAAGTGTCCCTACCAACTGAATATCTGACTTTCTTTCTAAGCCAATTCATAAAATAGGTGGTGGCATGGATAATGGAAAAGTCTATAGTCCCAAAATATAACAACAATGAAGAACTGGCAAGAAGAAGGTTGCCACATTTCTAAGAGCCAATGCTGGAAGCATGTGTTTCAATTTCATATTTTCATGAAAAGAATGGAACATTTCATTTCATCCCATTCTAGTTAGAATGGAATTAACAAATTTGTTTTTAACAGTATAGCATAGACCAAAACCATGCAAAATGAGCATCAATAGAGCTTGCACAAAATATAATGCAGATATCTCATCGATGAATAGAATCTATGCGTCTTTAAGTTCCTGAAACTATAAATTAAAGATCAAAAAACCTTTAAAAGGATGAATTAATAACTTCATTTTTACATCAATTTGATACAATCCTCTTATTCGGATGGATCTAAGGATTGTTTAAAAGGATGAAACCAAGTCCTATTGAACTTGACTGGCCCTCCCATAACAACAAAAAGCTGGAAGCATCAAAGCAAAAAACAACTAATGATGCTGACTAAAATCAGTAATACAAAGCTGTTAAGAGAAAGTAATCCCAATCCTTTAGTTCAAAAATTAAAGCATATTGAACGAGTAACAATGATGACAATAAATAGAAAAATAACAAATTATTGATTAAATGAGAAACCATTAACAATGATCATGTAAATAAAACTGAAAGAGCTCCAAGTGAGTACTTGATATGTAATTACCCTCAATTAGAATGCCCATGAGAAGGGACTCGGTTCTTGTAGTTGGGTACTTGAGCTTCCTTGCTTCAAGTTCAGACATGGCAAGACTTTATTGCATTTATTGACCTTCTATATTGGAATTGAACCATTTTAATTCCAGTTCACTCCACAGTTGTAATTCATAACTCAATCAAAACCAAAATTACCAACCCGAGTGGTCCAAATAAAAACAAGCAAACTAAAATCAGAAACACTTGGGATGTTTCTCAGCAGAAGCAATCCTTTCCCAATTTCTAAAATCACAAAATGAATAAAATTAAAGTTCAGGCATTGACAATAAAAAAATTAGAACAAAATGAAGGGTTCTACATGAAAATTTACGTCATTGGGAGGCTAAACACTATGGTGGAAATGATCGGGCTGTGATTTTGGAAGTCAGCTTTGGGATTTGACGATCGAAGACAAAGATTGATGCCAAGCCAAGGACTTTGTAGATATTGAGGTTTAAGAGATGGATAAGACGATTTGGGTTTCGATTTGTTTCCTGATTGAGAGGCCACGAGAATGTTGACGATAGACTAGAGAAGGATGTGGTGGCATAAAAACACCCGGCGGCAGCAGGTTCCAGCATGGAAATGGTTCAGCGGCCATGGGCTTCGACGAGAAAGGAGCTCCGACAGTGATGATGAAGAAATGGGATTTCAATTGTCGGGAAGAAGAAAGGCAAAACCATAAGTTAAGCCCATGAACTAACCCCAGAATCACTATTAAGCCCCTAGACTTTAATTGATGCAGTTAAGCCCTTGAACTCTGGGATCAAAGCAATTAAGCCCTTCTTCTTACCCCAACTTAACTGCCGTTGAGGACACACTCCGCATGGCTGCCTGGATTGCAAAATATTGCCATGTCATACTTACATGGCAAGGGATTTAACATTTGACCTGGATTTTT